TGGGGACAGCCTGTGTCCAGCCGCAGCTCCCGGACCGCGGGATTGCCGAGCCTGCTCTTTTTTGGTGGTGCGCTCGGGACGGGTGGTGATGGTTCTCCGTTTTAGGACTCACGTGCGGTTTTCTGTGAAGCTGTATATTTGCAATAGAAGCGTATTTGGAAACAGCTTCGGACTGTTGACAGGTAGTTATGCAAATGTAAAAATAAACGGGTAGGAAAAAGAGCATCGGCTTTTGCAGCACTTCCCTGAAATTTCAACTTTGGAGAGAGACTCAAAGGAAAAGCTGGCACTAATTTGGACTTGCTGCCTTCAGAAACTATTTTGTTAATGAATATTATAAAAGTCAGTAGGTCTTAAGACTAATGCAATAAAAAATACCACATTAACATGTTAGGGAAAAAACATGTTTAACTTAAGATTGCTAAGCGGTTATATAATGATTGAGACTGAAACAACCATTATCTGATGTCTCCTTCAAGGCTAAGTCACTCTGTGATGTGGCATACTTTTGAAGTTGTAGAAAAGCTCTTCTGGACAGGTCCAGAAAGAAGGTGGTAGCAATAACAACACTATTTGTGTGAAAACATATAATGGAATATTAATATAGTATAATACAGTGATTTGGTGACTTTTTTTCCTGTGGCATTGCCGTTGCAGACTACTTAAGCAGCCAGCATTACTATTATTGTTGTCTTCTTGAGAGTATCTTTAGGAATCTATTTTGGAATCTATTTTGATGTTGCTTATGAAGCTGTCAAGAGTAGGAGAGAAGTGAAATGTTAGTACATCTTTTCACTGGATTCGAAAAGCATTGACAAAGGTGTATAACGTTGAGTGTGCGTTAAGTAGTACGTTTGCAATGACATGTTCTCTCAAGGGTTTAGGTGATAATTTTCAGTAAATCCGTACAAGCTGCAATGCGACAGTAGGGGACAGATTTATAACAGTGTTTTTTCCTTGAATTTTTGACTGGGCCTTATTAAAATTAGCACAAATAGTGGGGGTTTTTTGTGTTTTGGAAAGGAAATGGATTTAAATGATCCTGGCAACAATTGAATCATTTGGCACTACTTCAGTGCAGGTGTATTTAATCCTTTCTCTTACGTTTTCAGGACGAGGATTTGCATTTCGGAGAAAACAAAAGGTCGAAAGACAATACAGGAAGTTGTTGAAAAAGGGAAGAAAGGTCCATTCACAACAGGATAATCAGTTTACCGATACTTATCCAGAGCACTTGAAACATCTTTACCTAGCAGAGGAAGAAATGCTTAAGAAACGGCGCAGGGCTCCCGGCGAGTCAGTTTTATCAGAAGAAAAACTTAATAAAGCAGTAGAGTAAGTTTTTGAAATACGTCTCTAGAAAAAAGTAATTGTTTCCATTGTTCAAGAAATTTTTTAGGTCTTACACTTTACATGGACTTCAGTACGGTGATTTGCTTTACTAAAAAAAATGCCGTTAGGTCTTAAATGTTTTTCCTAATTGTTAGAAAATTTAAACATACAGCTTTGTTGTATTTGCATCAGAATCAGAAAGCAAAATTGGTGATGTTCAGGGCTTGATTCCACAGAAATAATATGACAGTTACCGTTGTACTTTAAGGATAGGGTTCAGCCCAAGAGCAGTAGGTGTTTGGCCAATTTCTTACCTTGTCTACAAAGAGAAGAGCCTGCATTTCAGGTAGTGTGCTTTTGAGTCTACAGAGTTTTCCTTTGAATTGATTCTCAGTATTTTTAAATTAATGTCATTTTTCAGGAACATTTTTTGCATTATCTTTCTGTTCCCAGTTTGATAAGTTTTTTTTCTTCATATTGCGCTGTTTTTATGCTAGGATGAGCGATATTATGTGCAGTTATTCTTTTGTGGTATGGCTAGTTTCAGGGGGATTTTAACTGTGAACTTGAAAAAAAAAATGAAAGGGAGGATTTAGTAAAACCTTAAGGCAGTAAAGTGTTCTTGATGGAAGTAATAATTTTAAATAATAGAGATGTCATAATAGTTTGCTAGTGGTGTTTGGGTTTTTGGGGTTTTTGTTTTGATTTAAATTTACTTACAATAACTGGGAAAAGTCAAACGGAGTTTTTAATTTGCGGTCTAACAAATGTCAGATAGCTTAAACCGTTTTTTCCCCGTGTGACAATAATTCCCCCTGAAATCTTGGTTAGGTATGTCAGTAAAATGAAAAGCGGTAGTCACTCAGGTCTAATATTGTCATGGCAGTGTTTTTAAACAGCGTTCAAGTGCAGTGATTGAGATAATGCCTTTTTGTCCCCAGTACAAGGAGTGCCGAAAGGCTTTGAATTCCAAGGTGTATCTACATCTAAACTTTCCCGGGAAGAATGCTTGGGAGAGGGGTGAAAGGCAGTCAGATCTAAGCCCAGCAGTGGGAGAAAGGTAGAGTTTTGTCTGGAATAAGCAGCTTATTCGTGGGCATGTCTGAAATAGGACTGTTTTTCTTTAAACCAGAGGGTTTTTTAATTTTGCTTAAATTATGTTCATTGTGATTGTAAACCAGAATTAATAATTCTGCAAAAATGTGACTGCTAATCTGTGAGGTGGGGTGATGCGTAGAGTATTAGGTAGACTACAGTGTTCTGTGGGGATGGAAAATAAGACTTTGGTTATGTAATTCTATGTTAGCATATATTGCAGTTAATGTAGTTTTGTACTTCTGAGAAGATGAGGTGTCATTACACAGTATCGCCACAAGATGGAGATGAGAATAAGGCAAAGTTTTTTTTTTTTTCTTCTCCTGAAGAGAAAATGAGTAGATACCTTCACTTTCCTTCTTGATCATCTGTCTGAAATGTCCTAGATGATGATGGCTAGTTCTCAATTTCTTGCAGCATGAGTAATAGAGTAATCAAAAACTTATTTTGTGAACAGCTGTTAACTGTCTAGCAAAGCTTATGTTTTTCAAGTGTGAGATGTCACTGGTTTTGTAATGGCTTTATTGTAAATCAGAAAAAAAGTTTAGAACTAAATAACCAGAAAAATCCACTCAAAGTAGTGTGACAGTAAATGCCAGACAAATGGCACCGGTTTCTTTTACTGTTTTCTTAGAAAGATACCTGGGCGGCTTTTTATACTGAAATTGGGAAGGAAAATTCAGTTCCTAATTTCAGAACATTAGGGACAATAATATACCATCTCCTTCAAGAAGAAACTTTTAGAAAGGCTACTGTGCTTTTTCACCTTGCCGTGTCAGCCTGACTTCTCTGGCAGGCAATCTGCTAACAGCTGGCTGTCCTTATGTCTCTGCAGTTGCATCCGTATGTCGGAACTAGAAAGAGATAATACTGCTCTAAGCTAGTGCATTCAGTTTTTCTAGCTCTGAAGAGCTAGTATGATGGGAAAAACCCATCTTTTAGGCACTCTCTAAACTTCGTGAAACACCATCCATGTGAAGATCCAGCAG